CGTACGAGGAGCATGCGGACGAGGTACGGAGAGAGGAAACGCACGTGTGCTGGTGAGGGAGTGCGGTGCGTTTTGATGCCCCCAAAGTGGATGCGTGTACACTGGGGTTAATGGTGATTGCGCGCGTGATTGACTATGGTATCATGTTTTCTTTGGTTTTCTTTCATTTTTTTTTTTTATACTATTTTACGCTTCAAGTGTCATCCTCCAACTGCATGACAACGTATTGCGCGAAAACGTGCGACACTGGACTTTCTCTTGAAATTCAAATTGAAAAAACTACGCGGGCCCGCGATTAAAATTCTTCGACTCCCGAGCGCGTGCTTTCACCCAAAATGCTTCTGTTTTACAATTCAACGGGAATTCACGTATGAAAATATAATTCACGATACTCTGCAAAGCACGACCCGGAAATTTTTGAGCAATTAATCCCCGGATTCTCGAACGCGCGCGGTAACAAAAGTCGTCCCAACACCTCGTGTTTGTATATAGGTGAGGAAGAAAAAAAAAAAAGAAAAAGTTCCAACCTGTCCTACGGAAGGGGCCTGCAGATAAGTCGAGACATCCGGTTCCACCATGCAGCTCCTGAGGGTATCCGGGATGAACATTAGTACCCGGGACGTGCTCGGTCCGGTCTGACGCTCCTCGCAGTCGTAGGTTCGCGTGATCCCCTCACGGCTCCTCTGCTCTCATTCCTCTAGCAGGAGCGCACCACGCGTCGTCCCCAACGCGTCCCCGACGGTGGGAAGGACGTCGGCGGCAGCTTGCAAGCTCCCTCGGGTCCCGTTGATTGGCTCTTACTGCTCGTGGCTGGGGTTGCTGCTGGTGACGATGGTGCTCGAGGAACGACGACGCCGCGCCCAGGCACGCGCATCCTACCTAACGCGGGCCACACTCCTCACTCGACTAAACTATGACTCCGCTGTCGTTGCTGCTGCTGCTTGCACTGCTATGCCGAAAGCTGCGAGAGACAGCCACGTACGTGCACGCGAGATGTGCGGCGCCGCGAGCCAACCGACCGACTCGGCTCTCCTTTTCCTTCCCACCCGCGTTTCGGGACCTGCGCGATAAAGCTCCGCGACTTTCTCCCCACCCCCCCACCCCAACTTGTACCGCTCTTTTTTTCCCCACCAAGCGCGTCTTTGGGAGAGATGATTACGAGATTGATAATATGACATGCGCTACCCTCGAAACGTTCATTTTCGCAACGATACGCAATATCAAGTTTACCCGCTGTGGAAGAGCATCTTTTTTTTCTCCAGTTTTCGCATCCCCGTACACGAGTAAAATAGGTGTAGGTGTGGTGCGGGTGTGCGGCGCTCTTGCGCATGCAGCTGGCGTTTTTGCCGGTGCGACGAGCTTGCGAGCTTAACGGTGGTAGTGTATACAACGCGAGAGGGAGAGCTTTCGGGACATCGGTAGTGGTGGTGGAGGGAAAGAGGGTTTTGGGCGCCGCGTCGGCGTGGAGGGACAACGAAGAAGACTTAAACCATGTAATTTGGAATTTTAATCTGTATAATGTTCATAGATTATCTACGTTAAAAAAACTGTTTAACATCGGCCTGTCTCCACCCCTTAACATAGAATGCATAGTTGCCAAACCCATCATCGAAGCCTGTATTGTTATTTATTAATTTCTTTCTAATTGCAAAATAAAAGTATAGCTGTAATGATTTTTTTTTTTCTCAATATATAATATATGTATTCCGTCATCAATATGATAAGCGTACGCTACATATCTTCATACTTGTACTGTGAATTACAGCTTGTTCGTAAACCGTACAAATGTATGTACAAAAGACTTTAATAAAGCTAGTGTCAATACCTCAACAGAGGTCAGAACGCTTAAATATAAAAAAAATGTATATATATATGTTTCTCTCTCTCTCTCTCTCTGTCACTCTTTTTTTCCAAAGACGCGCAGAGTCCGTCCTTGCTTTTTCCCGTTTCGTGCTTGTGTGCGGGCGCGTGGCGGGACGCGCTCGGGGAGTTTGAGAGACTTTTCCGTCGAAAGTGGATTTTTACGGATTTTTCCGCCCCCTTTTTTCGTTACGCTCGAGGATCCTGACGGGTATACTTATTTCCACGCCACGGATCGGTCGATTTGTCACAGCTGCGCGGATGAGATGTCAAGTAAACACGAGAAAATCAGCACAAGCGATCGGATCTGCATCCGACAAAATTTACGAGTAAAAATTCGGCAACCCACGTGGCCGTGAATTATGTTAATAACACGTACCTACTCTCAATAAAAAAAAGGGGGGGTTTAGAGAAGTCCCGCGAAAAGTTCGCTCGCGAAGGTTAAGCTGTGAAAATTGTTTATAAAGCGCGCAAGGGGCAAAAAAGAGCCCCCCTTGTCCTGTAACCCATAAAGTTTGCCGCGGCGCCTGATATACGCACCGCACGGTACACATGCTCGCCTTATTTTTCCGCGCTTTTTCCCGCGGGAGGCAAGCCCAGCGCGCTGCAACTTCGTTTTTCTCCGTTTGTTTGTACCCCGACTGAGAAAGGGGTATATCTATAGTCGGAGGCCGGAAATGAAGAAGAATGGATGGCCACCCCACACCCTCCTTGTTTTTTTAGGCAACGGGAAAAAGAGAAGGGGGGTTGCGCACTCTTCCTTTTTCTCTGTTCTTTTTGCCCACAGTTTTTTTCCCTTAGAGCCGCGGCTCGACTATTTTTCTTTCTTACGCCGCTGAGCAAATTTCGGCTTCGCCCCGGCAATTTTTCGCCCCACCGGTGGATAAATACACTACCACTGCTTCGCGTCGAGGGTGACTCCGTGATACGGTTTCCCTCTCGAGTTGACGTGTTTTTTTGTTTGTTGCGCGTAGTTTTTCCAAATAATCGCTTATTTTGCGAACGTAAATTACCGGGGGGGGATTTGGTAATGGTTTTTCCCTCGTTTCCGAGTTTTTAAAACTTTTAGCGCTTCGTGTGCACAAAGTACACGCGTATGGGTGGGCTCGGAATTTGGCTCTCGAACTTTTTAAAAGGCTTCCAAGATTTCTCGGTCCGAGGCAAAATTCATGCGGTATTTTTCCAAGGGAAGTCGTGAGCGTGGACATAACTACTTGGGGGGGGGGGGAGAACATTCTACTGCATCCAACCTCGTCAACATACATTTGCCCCTTAAAAACGACCGCATCGACGCAAAAGTCCAAACTCGCGCACGGGGGAAAGGATTACTCGCGTTTACGGCTTACGTGCTCCCCGTATGCATCACCGCATATACACGTATGGTACGCCACTCGAGGGGATGATACCTACCTGTATGCGAATGGGGATGCTTGTGCACAGGAATCGCGGACATATAAGCGAGCGGGAAGCGTCTAATCCCCAAGGGCTCGTCACCCATTTGCTCGTGCGTACATACATACTATATTCGCGTGCCGATGTTTTGCACATCTTGACATATTATATAGCTGCTCGGATTTTTGAAGGGCACCTACCTTGAAAACTGATGGATTTTACAGTACTTTTTTTTTAATCTAAATCAGGTGACATTGATGTTTTTTTTTTTTTTTTTTTTTTATGAAAACTTTTGTGAAAGTCAACATTCCAGGTCTGAGCGACGCTCGAGTATAAATATATACTTGAAGCCGGAGAGTGGCTATTCTCACAACTCAAGCATACGCACTCGCGGTCGAGTGAAGGGGAAAAGGGGTAGGTGTACACGGGGAGTGGGACACCGGGCGCACCTGACGCGCATAATGTAACGAGCGCGCGTACGCGCATAATTTGCTCCTTTTTGCCATGTATACCTACGCGTATAGGCGTTCCGGCTCGTGCGGTTTTATTCGCTGAAAACGCGGAACAGACGTGAGCCGCTATATATTTGCACTGCGCACCGCGTGGCGATTAACTTTTTTTCCCATTTTTAGAGAGCCAATGATGGGGTTTTTTTTGTTTTTGGTTTTTGTTTATTTACTCATTTCTTCGATGGTTAAAGTGTACCAAAAAAAAAGGAAGTGAACATATTTTAATAGTTGCAGTGATCAATAAATAAAGCGGTCATTGAGAAACGTGTACGAAAATGCACACATTTTTTTTTTTTATACAAACGAGAAAATCTTTTGAATGGTCTCAGGTAAGCAAGGGTAACACGAATGGGACAGTTATACGTTTAGACGAGGAACGAGTGTATCTCTCCCTCTCACCCCAGTGTAATAGCCTTGCGGTCTATTAGCCTTAGTTTTACTCGGCTAGTGCCAACTCTGGGGCAGTTAGGCAAAGTCACCAGATAATGAGGACCTTTTACCCCATCCTCCGGCGGAGTTGCGGCGCCAAAAAAAAACTTTATTAGCCTTTATACACACGTATACGAGAGTGCGGTGCCACATCGCTACTTACACAACTGTGTGCACTTACTGCTTCTTCAAATTTTATGTTAATTGCATTTTAGAACAAGACAACTGCGATAAGGCCGAAAAGTTGTCCCAAATAATGTGAAGCTTGTATTTTGAGATGAGAAAAAAGGTAAATACGAATAGAGGGAAAAACATGTGCATGCGATTCGAAAAAGAAGACAATAATAATGACAGACAGTTTGAGATGTTCGAGCTAGTTTTTATTACAAGTGTGGGGTATAAGATGGTCATAGCGGATGACAAGTAAAAACCCTCCTCGCACCGAGTGACAAATCACAAAGTACAACAGAATTACTTGTCTCTCCTCCTTTCTCTCTATATATCTTATACTCCTTTGAGCTCATCGGATATTCCACGCGTTGTGCTCCTCAGCAACTACAACCAAGAGACGCGCGAAGAACGAGCCTTTTTCGCTTCTTTTTCTTTTATTTTTATTTTTATGTACGGACGCGCGCGTGTAAACGATGCGCGCGTATACAAAACGCAATGTGCAATTGGCAGTCGTTGAACTCGATTATACACGTCGTATTGTATCGCATTTACTTGTTCACCGAGGTTATTTTCCTTGCGCGTATGTGGACGCTATTTTAGTGTGTTAATGGTATTTTTTTTTTTTTTTTTTTTTTCCATATACCGACCCCGTACAGCGTTTACTATTGTTATTTGTTAGCCTATACACTTTTTTTTAAAGTACGTGATAACTTATTCTTATATCTTTCGATGCTCGTTTATTTATCATTTTACCTTTTTTTTTCATAATAAGATTTAAAGTTTGTTTCATTAATGTTACGAGAAATTGGCAACTGGAGGAAAACGTTACTTTTTGACCTACCACGACTTTACAATGCTTTTACTCTCCCTGCGTGAGAGCAAAAGTGGTATTTTACATCAAGGTGGGCCAAAAAATATTAAAGTCACCATGGACAGAAGTACGGAATATTTTTTCTTTTTCCATACCATCCAAGGTGTGCAGTAAACTATTCACCCATACATCTATACGTATGGATATAGGAAAATTTTTGATTACAATAAAATGTACAAAACAAAGATTTGAAAATTAATAAAACAAAAATTGCGTCTTACTTACGATTGTTAATCTCGTAATATTCGCAAACCTTAAAGTAATATTGCGACTCTGAAGAAATACATCAGAGTCCATAAAAATTATGATTTAAAAAAATGCTCTCACCACTATAGATGCACAGCTCTTACACCATTGTAACCAATTTCAAATTCATCACAAACTTGGATTTAAAATAAACGCATTTACGATTTTATCTCTTTAGAAACGTTATTAAAAACACTTAATTAAGAAAAAGAAAAAAAAAATTACAGTAAACCATCAACACTCGTATTGTAATGATAAATGGCGAAGATAATCAAGTAATATGCATCGATACAATCAGTAAAACAAAATTTGAATCATTCATTTCAAAAATTCATTACACTCATACTGAAAAATGACACTCATACATTTGATGCTTCCTTGTGTTTTCGTACACAAAACATACTTTATCATCGACAATTCATCATTTTTTCTCGTCATCTTCATTTAGTTCGCCGATTATCCGCTTTGCACTACCAACAGTGATAACAAGGTAAAAGTTCGGTACTACTCCAGAGTGCACAAAAACCAGAAATAGATAACAGACCATAGGTGATTTTCTCAACGGAATACATCCATATTATAATTGCATCTCTTCTAGTTTCCTCCAAATTTTAATACCATTTGCGTTTTTGGACTAGAACTGTAGATAAGATTAATTGTAAATGACTAATTATGACGATGATTACGAGTTGTCAAGAAATATTGTGACCGACTTACCCTTTTTAAAAATTCTTCCGCACATGTGCGAGCTCTAGCATTCATAGAAAGTTTCATTTCACTGATTTCACGATCAATTTCTTCCATAAAGTGAATAACAAAGTCCACTATTTTATGCTTATACATTTGTTCAGTGTGAATATTTGTAATTAAGAAGCTGATATCATATCCCTGTAAAAAATTGTGGATTTGTTATGTAACACCAATTTTTACATGTTCTGGAAACACCACTTGGCGAATGTACTCACTGGTACTGGTTTTCTCCTCAAAATCATGAAATTTTCTGATCTCATCATCATGAATCTTGTAAACTTGTGGCACAAGATTCTTTCCAAATCATCAACTTGTTTGACAGCTATGCTTATTCTCATGCTATTCACACTCGACTCAATGAAAATTTTTTCGTTGGCATTTCTGCTAATCAATATTGGCGTCAGAAGCAATTCTTTGCTAGCTCTTACTTCTACTTCTGGTTTGTTGTGTTTTTCCACTATTTGGGATGAAAAGTTCTCAAGACACATGGCAGCAGTCAACGTACGCCTCACTGCTGTGAGATAAGGCTTCAGAGAACTCGACTGGAATCAAGAAAAATATTTAATACAACACTTTGCTTTGACAAATAAATTTTCAAGACCTTTTTATCACAAAAAGTGTTTGTATGTAAAAAAGAAAATCTTGATACAACAATATCAAGCCTTACAATCATTAACATTGAGAAAATAAATATAATCACCATGACTCAAAGCTTGGCTATGCTCAACTAATAATACAAGAATTTGATCTCAATGCATGAGATTTTCCCTTTCTGAATAATTAATTTTTCTCCACGTATAGAAATAAACATGTAAATCTGCTTCTATGCTTCCAAACAATCTGTGTCATGATATTAGAACGAAAACTCAAAATGAAAGTATTCCAAACAAACCAAAACAAGGCGTAACAATCAGCGATTCATAACCTCTTTGCTACACATAAACACACTAAAATTTATACGAAGTCAATTAGATATTTCACACTCACCATTGTTTACAATTTCGGCAAAACTCTAGTACCGTGTATTAAAAAGCAGGAACGTCTTGTGAAAAAATACTAGTGAATAGAGAGACGACGTCGAATTTGGCGTTTTGGAGCACTGATTTCACCGATGACGTCCGGCCGAGCGCAGGATATGACACATCACGTTGACGAGGTACCGGAGATACTCAAATAACTCGCGAATCTACGATGGTTGGGTATACAATTCAATCTCTCGTAAGTATTATACCTTCGCTGCGTGTAAATTTTTTTACTGCTTTACTATTGTTATTGTTGTTACTACACAAGTACACACTGCTTTTTATGATACATACAAGCTAGTGTGTTTCACACGTGTGTGTGTGTGTGTGTGTGAAAAGGAGGGGTCACTGCGCAGCCTCTCGACGCATCCATGCGTTCTGGCGGAAAATTTCAAATTTAAAAAATCCAATGAAGCAAACTTGGGTTTTCTGTTAAATACGATTTTATTACGATCTACAAAGTGTAAATACTTGGTTGGTTCGTTATATATGTAATGTAAAAGCTTTGTAAATATAATAGATCATCACAACTCATTTTACAAACTAAACATTCAATTATACAGAATAATGATATTAGTTTCATTTTATATTTTCAAAATTATTTATACATCGTTGATCACACGATTACGAAATGCTAATCATAATAACAAATAATGATTGTCGTTGTAACGGTAGAATTCGTTGAAAAAATCACAATTGCGACGTCAGAATGATTAAACTGATCGTTGCGTAATTACCTTAAAAATTCACATTTAGATATTCATTCGAACATTGAACGTACAACAATAAAAACAGTCTTGGATATACAATTACTTTGTGAAAAACGCATAAGTAATATTGGGGTATGCAAAATGTTTGGCACTGATGGGGGTATCCCAAAATGCGTCAGTGATAATTTACACATGTACGTGTATGCTTAACGTTAAAAGCAATTCCATTGAAATTTATAAAAAAATCATTTAAACCTTAAAATTATATATTTTAGGCACTGACGGTAGTTTTAATAAAAATTCTTGCCCCAAAAGGACAAATGATCACATTTTATGTGTATTTTGTTATTGACACAAGTTTGATATTTCCTTGTGGCTATAATAAGGTTCTACCTGTTGACCATAATATACATGTCAATCTCTTTTAAGAAAGTTACATATAATTTCATACAGTTTTATATTTATTCACGTGACGTTTACTTAGATAAAGTAAAGCTATGGCATTTTTTACGATTACGAAAAGCAAAGTATAGGTATACATGAAAAAAAAAAGAAAGAAAAATATATATATTTGATGAGTAAAAAAATCTTAAATAATGTCAATAAACGTAGTTTTACAAAAGTAGTATTGATTAACACAAAATGTCAACTGTTACTAAGCTAAAATCACACTAGGAAATTTTAATCAAGCTATAATGATCACACGAGATTCGAATTTCATGGCTACAGAATTGACGAAAAAGTAATATTAACGTTGTTAACTTCTCCTCGAGAGAAATTTTTCATTCATCCATTGTGTACTACAGACTGGCACATTTGATTGAGTAACTAGTATGTTTTTACAGTTTAAAAAAGTAAAAAACAGTATGCTGGAATTTTCGATGGTAATTTCAAAACGAATATACACGATAAGGGTAACTTACTAAATAAATATAAAAAAAAAAAAAAAAAAAAAAAAAAAAAAAAAAAAAAAAAAAAANGCAAACAATTAAAATCCAGTATCACCTACCGTATCAAATTTCAGCCGGGGGAAAAAAAAAAAAAAAAAAAAAAAACAAGTGCCCTAAACACTGGGCTTCACTGTACATGATAAATTCGTTGTGACAAGCGTGTTACATAGTCCATAAAAATTCTTTGTCTTGGAAGCTATACATATTAGGCTAACGATATAAAATCCGTATCGGATACATGTGACAGCCACGTTTTCACGAGTTTAATGTAAACTTTTGATTTCGCGTAAACTCACACAATTATATATATACACTTGTGCGTTTCCCTTTAACACCCATTCATCTGATCGTCATAAAAAAAAAAAAAAAAAAAAAAAAAAAAAAAAAAAAAAAAAAAATATCACACTCATAATCCTCATTATATGAAAAGACTCGCTCACATGAAAAAAGAGAAAGAAAAAAAGTGACGATGAATGGCATCAGCGGAGCTCTTCAAGAGGATCTAATCTCCAATTCGTTGCAGTAATCGTAAATGGGAACCTCGGGCGGCTGCGGAGGCACCCGGGGTATGCAGCTCCTGGTGATGACGACCGCCAACAGAGTGACCGTTGAAGCAGCCGCCACGTGCCACGAATAGGTAAGAGCAATCTTTTCCAACGTCAACGGCTCGGACCTGAACACCCTCACCATGTGCGCCAGCCATGCCCCGTGCAGCAACGTCGAGGCCCCCCTCAACAACTTCATCTCCGGCCAGACCAGCTCCAGGGCCACGGCCACGCAGGTGAGCCACACCGTAGCCGCCAGGATCAAGTTGACCTCGGGGCTCTCGCTCACGCTCGCCCACACGAACAAAAAGCCCTCGACGAAGAAACTCTGGCCCAGGGCCAGCTTGACCAAACCGTCGCTCACGTTGCGCGGGAAGTAAAAGTGCAGCACGTCCACCAGGCCCGAGAAGGCAAAGAACGTGTATATGGTCGAGTGGACGACCTTGGGCGCGACGATACCCGAGTTGGGCAGGCCCCCGCTGAGGGTACCGCACAATCCAAACACGGTGGCGATGAGCTTGAGGCAACCCTCGATCGGGTGGCTGTTCAACACCCTCGAGCACGTCTTTTTCAACCGGCGGGTAGCACTTAATTTCGGGCTCTCCCTCGGCTGGCGCGGCTTTGGCCGGACGTACCACATCCTCGCGTACTCGCAGCACCACTTGATCCCGAACGCGTAGAATATACAACCCGTCAGCAGGTACGGCAAGTTATTCTCCTCTCCAACCATTTTCGAGCCTGAAACACATTTTTGGTCATATTACTTACTGTGTAGCAACACCCCGTGTGCTGCAGGCCTTCAATCAATAAATATAATTATATGTATGCGTGCGTACATTAACTGCCGGCGGTTGACAAAGTTGCCAAACAAACGGTGCACTCTAAGGCTGATCCGCTCAATCGTCATAATATTGTACTTCTCGCGAGTTAAAACAATCAGTGCTCGTACACACGTACACGCCTCGGCAAATCGCGTCGAACAAACATACAATGGGACACGAAAGGGAAAAAGCCGTGCTATAAATAATATACCATCGCCTCCTCCTCGTGGAGCCCAAAAGGAGCGAGGCTCAGAGACACACGCCCATCCGGACGTGTAGTCCAAAATTAACCCTCCGCGGCTCTAATCCAACAACGGCTGCACCGACACCATGGAAAGAGAGAGAGAGAGAGAGAGAGAGAGAGAGAGAGAAAAATGGGAAGACGTACTTACTCGGAGAGATCTAAAATTTCAACGAGAAAATCCATGCAGGCTCCAGCATCACTTACTTGTCGCGCAATCTTGTCACGGGCATAACTCTTTGGTCCACGGGAGGCGCGACTAAATTAATTCACAGCTCGTATAGTTGAGCCTCCGCCGCGCGATGATCACCATACTTGTGTGCATGTATACGTGTGTATTGTCCTCGCACGCGCTTCCGCACATAGCGGAGCAACCAGCTGCAGCTGCTGCGATTTCAATTGCCCCCCCCCCCGCATTCCAAGCACAAGGTCTGTTCGCGACGGTTGTCGGGTCTGCTGTACATAATTTTCAAAAGCGCGCCCTCCTCCAGGGTATCCGATTCTCCCTCGCGTCATCTGCGAGAGTTTACCTGTTGCCGATTTTCGGAGCGCATCGGAACTTCTCCCCCGTTGATAAGGCAGGGTGCGGAGAGAAATACTCTCGGGTGGAGACGCGAGATGGAAGAGCGGGTGCGTCTGACCGAGGAATCATCCACCGGAGATTTACCTACTTTTTTTTACCCTTTGTTTACCCAAGTTTATTGGTGTCTTTTTTTTTTTTTTTTTTTTTTTTGGGTCAATAAACCATTACCGAGCAAGTTATCAGTCACACATCGGCCTAGATCTTTTCACGGCTGAGGTGCACGTTGTTTGTTTGGAGTCTCAATATTTACACGACTAACTTAAAATCCAATCATCCCGTGGTGCATTCGCCTTTGATTGTTGTGCTTACCTATACTGGATTTATGTATACAAGAGGACCCGATCTACTCTTGGGAGTTGGGTATATTTATATACGTCGGTGTGTATTTTTTTTTTTTTTTTTTTTTTACGAGTGACAGCATTTGCCTGCACTTTCTAAAAGTATAGTGTACCCATGTACGAAAAGTAAAAGTAAAAAACCGTCAAACCGGAGAGTCGGTATGTATACCGATCAAGTGGCCGATTTACCGAATGAATCTGCAAAACACACCAGGCCGTTGCTCGGGCAAACAATTAAAATCCAGTATCACCTACCGTATCAAATTTCAGCCGGGGGAAAAAAAAAAAAAAAAAAAAAAATCGGCAAGGGAGCCACAAAAACCCCCGTATCCGCGGGAAGTTCAAAAGCCGAGTCAGTGCGTTCACCTGCCGCGTCATTGGTCCCTTACCTGCCTCCTCTCTCTCCCTCTCTCTCTCTCCCACGACGCCTACTCCGGGTGTATATATATATATATCCTCCGTTCCGCTACCACAACCCTCGGCTCGGAGCTCCGGACGCCCAGCCTCACTCATTCACGGCTCGCGGTGCTGAGCGCATGAGAGAGCAGTCACGCCTGTCGCGCGCCAGCACGGTACACATATACCGATCGCTCCGATCATCTATCCAAAATGTGACGTGCTCCTCCGAACTAAGTCGTGTTTTTTTTGTTTTTTTTTAGTTTCTTTTCGTTTTGGTTCATTTTTTTTTTTTTTCCTTAAAGTTAAAAAAAAAAAAAAAAAAAAATTTTTTTTTTTCCCTTTGGTTTGGTGTTTGTATGTGGTTTTGCGCGTGATTTTTTGGCTAGACGCCGAGAAGAATGACGTGTGACTTTAAAGGAGGGAAATTGAGTGCGAGGCACCCAAGTGCTTGTATTGTTGAGTGATTTTTCGTATAATAAGGAAAACTGGTGCTACTTGTTATAATACTACACCTCTCTGCTGGCAGAAGAAGAAGGGAAAAAAAACAAAATTCGGCCGAGCTCCCGCTGGTGTGTTCTTCTATTGTCCATATACGCGCCTACATACGTACACGACTAGCGGTGCTGCGCGGCGATGCTGATCTGATTTATGGTGAGTGTTTCCCGAAACTCGACCGATTTTCACATATTTTTTCCATGCACCCAACAATCGTCAGGCGGCATCTATGTTGGCTGCATATGTAGTCTCGAAAAGATCGAGGGTGGCGCTTTTTAAAAATCTACCCCGGCGATTTGTTTCAACGAAGCGTTAATATATCATCTACGTCGCTCCAAACAAATCGGTTAAAAAAAAAAAAAAAGAAAAAAAAAAACACCGATCGATGCCACAAATCTGTTTGTCCAACCGGTCCATTATTTACCCAAGTATAATAAACGCGCGCATTACGGCCGATGTGTTTTCGTAATGACAATAATCGGGTCCCCTCGCGTGTAATTACGCGGAGTAATTCGCGTTACGTGTATATATGTATAACGCACACAACACACACGCGCATGCCCCCACGACACTTACAACCGAGCAAAGGGGAGCAAATTACTCGAAAATTACGAATTTGCACGTCCACTTAGCGTTTCGGGGAGTCTCTCCCGAACGAGCGCACCGGTCTCTCGTTCATATAACCGCTTAACGAACTCTCCCGTGTGCGTGCAACGTATACATACCAGTGTACGGGAGCGCTCTCGCGATAATTGAGTTTGACCGGAGCTGCCACCCAATTTTTCTGCGGTGCAAAAATTTTTCACGGCCGCAAAAACGAGCAGTGGCGCAATTTCGACGGGCAAAGTGCTTTTCCGTTGAAAAGGGACGTTTAGCCCGACGCAGGAGGGAAGCGTAAAAGGGGAACGAAAAAAAAAACAAAGTAGCTCTCGTGTGCGGAGAGTTTGGAGTTGAGTCGTAAAGTACGTGACGTTGACGACGCGAATAACTCGATTACCGGTTGCCTTATTTTCTCCCTCCCTTGTTTTTTTTTTTTTTTTTTTTTTTTTACGGTACGGGCAGTTGAGCAAAAAGACCCCTCGTTTGCGAGCTATATACCTGCTATACTGCTGCATTTTTGCGCGAAATACCCACATATACAAGTCCATTACCGGCATTTCGCCTCCTTTGTCTCGATTAATCCAACAGCTCCCGACTCCAAACTGGCATTTTTTAGCTCTCCGCCCGACACCTTTCCTAATCTCCTTCGCCGAGCGAAAACCAGAAGCCCGATATCACCCCGCGTTTTCCACACTCGGCTTATCTCGCGCGCTCCCAAACCCACATCTCGAAAGAAAACGAATAAGCCATAGAATGAAAAAAAAAGGGTTTTTTTTTACTTATCGGGTTTAGACGCGCGTCAAAGTTGTCGGACAATGCGAACAAACAAACGCGCGGTGCCGGTGAGTGTGTGCCCCCGGAAATCTGTGCGGCTGGAGCCGATCGGCGATTAAGAGCAGAGAGATCTCGCGGAGGTGAAAGTATACACCGCCAACACGACAGATTGTGCACACACGCGTACAATATGACGTATCTATCGCGAACTGCCGATCGGCTCGCCCCGCTGATGTACGATAATGTATCGAGCGAATGACGAAATTGCAGATGTATGCGCTACGTTATACGTATACGGGCAGTCCTTTTTTTTTTTCGCTCGGCCGTATAGAAAAGTTGTTTCTCGCGGCCTGTCTTGTTCGATATTTTTGTACTCGTCCGTGTTCCCGGGATTTTGATCTGAGAGGGAGAGAGGAAAAATGTGTGCATGCGTTTTTTGCCGGTCAGAAGTGGGTCGCGGGTTGCGAAAATTTTTCTACCCAAGCCCCCGCGCCGCAGGCCGATTTTTTTACCCCCCACGGCAATTAGGCTTCCCTCCTTGTTGAAATTATATGCATGTACAATTTTCGCGCTGGATTTCGCTGGTCTGATTATTTTTTCTAAAATTTAAAACGATCGCTGGGATCCTGTAACGAGGCGAAATTACATCTTAATTGCAACACTCTCGCCGCGGTTTGTTCGATTTTTTGTCCTGTTATATGCATACGCGCGTTTTGAAATTTTTTTTGTTCCCCTTTTAAAAACACGCTCATTAGCGTACAACAAACCATGTGTGCACAACAGCTATTGCCTCAAAGTTGTACAATAAACGGGCAATGATTTACACGAAAAAAAAAACAAAAGAAAAAATGTAATCCAAACACTTCTTCCATCGCTATCTATGCAGCGAATCGGGCGACTTTGATCGACGATGTATCAGCATCTGCGTAACACTTAACTTCAATCATACGGATCGAGAGTATAAGTTCTGCGGTCGACTTGAAAATATAATGAATGGCCAAACGCTAACTCGGATTGATAAGGTTTTCAAAGCCTCCCCTCCCTCTTTTGGAAAAAAAAAAAAAAAAAAAACTATCCATATACATAGGGAAAGATAAACATCCGCAGGAGTATCTCATCAATCCCACCACCGCGACGCACCGTATTATGCGCCAGAGGGAAAAATCGGCCCATCCATTTTCCCCTCGTTTATATGCTTATACCCCAACATGAAATTTCGCGCTCGTTGAGCCCTTGCTGCATACGTCGCAGGAGAAAAAAAAAAAAAAAAAAAGAACAGGTATACAATTTTTGCGATTCGAGTCGTCGCCGTGTGTTATTACGCACGAGCACGAAGCTCCCGGCTCTCGCGGGCTTGCATGTTCCGATGAATTTTAAGTAGACTCCCGATCGCTCTTCACCGCGATCATCAATGAAACTCGAGAATTCCTCGGCTAGCTTCGTCGTATTCGAGAATGTTTCCGATCGAGTTGGAGCTCAAAGTGTGTATACTTTTTTGTTTGTGTATACACCCTCGTTGTCATCAATGGTAAAAATGGCTCGGAGAGAAAGATGATGATTAAAGAAAGGGGGGGGGGTAGAAATAAATGAAATGATTACGCTGACCGATGCGCGCAGCAAAAACTCGCTGAAAACGTGATTCGGTTGCACATTGCGGGCACGAGAGAATCCGTTTGGATTGTAAAAGCCTCCCTCCCTCGCCCCGTTCTCCTCTCCGCTTGCTGATGCCGGCCGCAATTTTTTTGCATAATTATTTCGAGATAATGGGAGCCCCGTGACTGCTCCGTCAGCGTTTTGCTCAAAATTTATGTCGTCCCTCCACCCGCGTCTCCTTTTTTTTCCGTCCACTGTTTCGTGAAAACCGCGCGCTGTAATACTCTTTCCTCGAGTACTCCTAGCGGTTATTTATGCCAGTTTTGCGCATTTTTTTTTTTTTTTTTTTTTTTTTTTTCATTATTATTATTATTTAAAACAATTAGCATTCGAGATTAGCGCAATAAACAATAAAAAGTAGCGTACAGCCGTACGATGCAACATACACGTATATACCCACCGTGGCCTAATCACTTTATAACCGTCGCAATTTCACGTTCATTACCCGTAATCGTCCTTGCCTGGATTACCCACATACATAGTGCCGTCGCGAGAGAGAAAGGGATACCATTATTATATATATATATATATATATACGTATATACCTATACTCCGTTTCGCCTAATAGTTTTCGTGAGAGTTAATAATACATATATAAACTTGAGAGAGCCCGGCATATCGTGCGGTGCACGCTATGACTAATGACCTTTGCTTTCTAAATGGCGCACGTGAATATGTTTTTGTGATTGATATCTATCGTGTATAACACGTAGGTGTACAAAGGCCTGCGTTACGTAAACTTTTAATGGGTTTTTTTTTTTTTTTTTTTTTTTTAACATTTGTTTATTTTCTTTTCGTCATTGCCATTTTTGCCAATCCTGCATCGCACTTGATTAAGCAAAAACTCCTTGTTTTTCGGTACCGATAGGCCTTGCGATTTTTCTTTGAAGTAAAAGAATTGAAACAATCGGATAAGAAAACGCGTTACCAACAGGACTACAACAACAAAAATTAGAGTTCACTGCTGCACCTTTCAGCGTCGGCGATTTATGAAGTATAAAAAATTAAAATTTCAAATAAACCCGTTCTCGGTGGAAATTTCTTTAAAATTCACCTCCGCGCGTTGCGAATACACCCATAAAAATACTTTATATTTTTCCGACCCGCAAGTTTGCTCGTGAGTTATGTTATTCAGTGCGTGTACGATATTATATGCGTATCATCAACCTATTTTTATTTATTTATTTATTTATTTTTTTTTTTTTTGAGCAAAAGAAAAATCCTATTTAAACGCGCACTTCATCGATAAGATAGTGCGCAGACCGCACCTGTAAAAACAATGCATTTAGAAGCGAAAACAATAAAATGGAATATCGTCCTTTGTTTTCGAATATAACGAGCTTTTATTCCAAGTGTCCCAAACTCACGACCGAATAATATATCATACGCAAAACGAGGCTATGTATATATATATATACCCCCGCTATTTTAAATCTCCTCCTTTCGGCCGATACCCGCGCAGAAGTAAAACCACAGAGAGCCAAATTGCGAAACGACGCGGGTTAATTTCCACGCAAGATTCAATTTCTCGGCAAGCATGTCTCGGCAAATCTTGATTCCCGATCTCCCTCCGTCTCTGCCTTTTTTCTTTTTTTTTTTTCCATTAATTTCCAGCGTAATTATTCCGATACTGCGTATAATTGAACAATTACGGAAAATAACGATAACCAAATAGTTTTCCCCGCCCGCGTTTCCATAAACCAACGTGATTTATTACCGCTCCACACACGTATATGTATATAATTGTTGACGGAACAATAACAAGTTGGCCATTTGAAGTATATAGCTCGTATCATCTGGTTGTCGAACATATCATACCTATACTAAAAGTCTAAATAAATATGCACTGCGAAAGAGTCGCCTACAAAACGCAGCTCCTCCCGGGGGTTTCAGTGTCAAGTCGCTGCGTGTGCGTGAATGTTCATCATTACGGCATACACGCGAAAATGAAATATAGTCACATGTGTGCCATTTCTGTATACCCGTAAGCGCAAGACGAGATTATAACGTGCCTTTGTAAACTCGCGGAGAAAAACACGCTCGGAGCAAATGACATTCCACGTGTGTATATAATACATGCCCGAGATGCCGTACCGTTCGCGTTGTTAGCATATATTTACAGCTCGATC